TGAAGTAGATGTTAATCACATCAGAGCCAAACAGTAATAACTGAAACACATGATGTTTGAGCAATACATACACAAGTATTCAAAGTTGACATCGTGTAGAAAAACCTACAAGATGAGGCATCAAACATCAAAAGAATGCTCCAAGGTGGGGCCCTACCGTCATTTTGAAATGTTCCACTGCCATCCTAACAATAACCGTAATCTTTATTTACAAATAGAAATGCTATACAACTGCTGAAACCACTTCTGATAGCGTCAAGCAAACAAAAGTAATGATAAAATGTTGCTCTGAAGCATATGAGTCAAGTTTATCTTGAAAAAGTCATCGATTGTCATTGTTGAGAGGTCCTTTTCCAAATAACGCTAATCTATGCTCAGGATAAATATAGTTAAAAAAGCTAAAATATAGTATTCATGCATGAAATTCGTCACCCTATTCAAAAATAGCTGGGAAGGGAAACCTTTTGACTCGTCTTGTAAATTGACTGCGCTGTATTAAAACTCCCTCTTTATTACCATTTTAGAATTAAAGTTGAAGAGAAATTAGAGCCTGGACTTGAAGCTGATTCGGCAGCAGCTACAGTTAATCAGATGAAAATGGAGTTCCAAGAATCTGAAAGCTGGAAGAAAACCAGAATTAAGGAGCACAAATCTTGAAATATGTACGCCTTAGGGCTACATCACGAATTTGTCATCAAAACTGAGAGTGACCAAGATGACAGACATGATTCGGCGTCCGATAGGTGAGTCTCCTTCAATCCCCCAACTCTATGGGATGCCCCAAAATGATGAATGGATTTCTAGTATGCAAGGTGTGTAATAAAATTTCGTAGGTTTGGAAACTCTGATCAACACGCTACTGAAATATGATGAGTTTACAGCTGTTTTCATTGTTTACTTGTTAGACGTATTTTTATGATAAGTATAATTTATTGGTTTCAATCTTCATAATTCAATTCACCAAATTATACTGTATTTACATCGTTCAGTCAGTGATTGTACTTTTAGCTTTTAGTTCTAACAAACCCAAGCACAAGCAAACTTTTTTGGGTACTTTGTTTGTTGTGCACGATACTTAGGATTTATCTATACTTTGTCATATATATATATATAGCCAACTTTCGAAAAAATTGAAAAATCGTTTTTTTAGGATAGTCCAAAGATCAAAAAGATACATAAAGAAATTTCCAAGATCAAAAATTGAGAATCTAACATAGCGCCAAGTTTTGCTAAAAAAAACCTTACTTCGTTTGCTCACCTTGTATAAGTGTATAAATAAAAGAAATATACCGATCGTGTAATAACGAGATTTGAATTTGGGTAAAATTTTCCATGTTACACAGCAACTGTCCATCAGTTTAGTTTGTGATGCACTTAATGCCATTATGATTGCCTGACTGTCTGAGCAGATGGCGATCGACTGATTTGCCGTCTCATTTCTTATTAGCTCTTTGCGCAGACTTGTATGGCCGTTACTCCAGCCTGAATGAGACTATTTTAATACTAAGTCAATTTATGGTATACATAAATCAAATTCAAGCGGATAACCAAATGGAAATGGTATTTACCATTTTGGGTTGGTATTTACCGATTCGTTCAAGCGAGTGTAGTTATCAGTTTGGTTATAAGATCCGTGACGTCACGAATCAGCTGTTATATGTCATAGTTATCACCGCAAAATTGTGGTATTTACCCAACTCAAGAGTAGTTTTATATTCTGGTTATTATTTGAAATGTGACAAGTGACAAGTTAGTTCCTATGCTTAACAAAGTATCCTGTGTAGCCATATACCACAAGAATATTAAAATATGGCCATATAAACTCACTAGATGATATCCACCTGTATACGATTTTGCTAATTTCTTTTTTCATCATTTCTGCTGAATCAATAAATGTTTTTTTTGATATGCGGAAAAATTTAGAGAATTGAAAGTTATCATAGCTACCAAGCCATGGTTCCATCGTTAAAAAAAATCTGAAAAAATCATTTCTCCCATGAATATTATGAAAGGTTTCTTATTTAAACTTTCCATATACAGTTGTAGACGAAAAAAGCACCGATTATTAAGTGATAATAAAAATAATCAGAGATTATATACGCGCTTTTCTAAAATAAACAACTTGCAACAAAACCGCGGTTAAAACCAACGCGTTCAAGCGATTCGTGTAACTGACGTCTCAACCCGTGTGTCATCTTGAACCATATTATAACCGCGGCACATAACACAAAAATTTTGGTTATTCGCTTGGATTTGATTATAATATAGAACACAAAAGAATGTAAATTTCTGTAAAAAAAAATGTCTATGAGGCTCGTCTAAGGAGATACAGGCACCTAAAGCACGCTACTGGAAACCGATTTTTTAACCAATTTTTGAACGAAACTGTAGAATTAGCAGTCTAGTAATTAGTAAAATATTCACATGAGGAACAAGAAAAATAAGTTGTTTAGCTGCTATATTTGTAACTACGAGCACTCAGTGAAGTTGGCCCAACGATCAAATCTACGTTTTTTATGAAACTTGTCATATTAGTGGAAACGTATTAAAAACTAAAATGTATTTCTGATAACATACCTACAATATTTTTATTTAATATTTGCCTAAAATACTATATTTTTTAACAAAAAAAAATATCTTACAAATTAAACATACTGCCGATTAATAAAAATCAACAAAACCAAATACGAGGCAAATCACCACTTGCGTTACAGCGCCTTTTGGACTAATTACTACATCCAATCTTTTACTTTTTTAGCCGTATGATAAGCGGTACCATCTTGTTTGAAGATACATTCAACATTGTTTACACGCATTGTCCAATTTGAGGTATTAAGTTATTTTGACACATTAATGCACTTTTCAGTATTCATGATACCTTCCACCAAGTGCAAATTTCCCACTCTACTTGCTGATATGGATCCCCAAATCATAACATAAGCCGGAAACTTTGCTTTTTTTTCTGAAACACTTCTTTAGTACTTATGACACCACATCTACTGTCACGAAGGCATACTTCAAATCTGGCTTCATCACTCTACATCTAAAAAATGGAGTTCCATCAGTTCGGAGACCATAATTTGTTTTCTTTGGCCAATGCTAGTCTGTTTTTCTTCTGAATCTTTGTCAGTAAGGGCTTCTCTTTTGCCAAGAAATACTGTATTATAAGTGAATAATAAAAAAATAATGTAAGCCAACCTTGTAAGTTTTAAGTCCCAGTTTTTGGGCAGCTCTCTGGCAAGTTGCTCTTGAAAACTTTTTTGTGGTTGCCTGATTCCATGATCGTTTCAATTTGTTATAATTAGCTCGCCAATTTTTCTTGATAATCCGTTTTAAGGCTCTTAAGTTGATATTGGAATAACGCGGGTGACATCAAGTTCTGGGTTTTTGAGCCACAGATTCCGTTGTTTTGAAAATTTAATAATATTTATTTATTTATTTATTTATTTATTTACAAATTTACGGGATAAACCCATTCGGTTACAGGTTGTAAAAGTACAATCTTAACCTAATAAAATTCACACACATCTTAATAAAGAATCTAACATATGAACATAAAGTTTGACTATTTACTAAATTAAAATATTAAAATATTAAAACGTGCATAAAAATAGTTACAAACAAATACTAAAAAAAAAAAACTAAAAAAACTGAACAACTAAACAACACAGCAAACATCACCAGCAATTGAGACATTTTAAAACTTTAGCTAAGATTTCTATCTTTAAGGAACTTTTTGAGAGAGCATAGTGAAGTATTAAAAGGTCTATATCACAGTCATTACAATTTCTCATTATCCTATCCATGCTACTATTCGAGCCATACAAAGTTCTATGCCGACAAGGTTCAAAGGATCTGCGTCCTCTTAAATGCCTAGGAGAAACATAAAAATTTAGCTTTAGAAGCAGGTCTGGCAGTGGTAACACCATGAATTAATTTATAAGCAAAAATAATATCTGCTGAATCTCTCCTGGCTCTTAGGGATCCAATCCTTAACTCCTTTTCAAGAGCATTATAGTCTAAATTCTCAATAGAAATGTGTTTTTTGTAAGCTATATATCGTAGAAATTTTCTCTGAACCCCGTCAAGCATGTCCTGATAAGTTACATAATATGGAGACCACACGCTGCTGCAATTTTCTAGATGAGATCGCACCAGTGAAGTATAGAGAGTTACTATAGCTCCAATGTTAGTAAATTCAGATGTATTTCTTTTTATGAAGCCCAACATTTTTAAAGCTTTATTTCTTATAACCTCTATGTTCTGATAAAATGTTACTTTGCTATCAAATATAACACCCAGGTCTTTAACAACATTCACATTTTGAAGTTGGGTATTATTTATGTGATAACTGCTGACTATATTATTGTTAGACTTTGAAAATTGAATGTATTTACATTTGTCTGTGTTAAGGATCATTCTATTTTCTTCACTCCATTTAACAAATTGATCAAGGTCACTCTGAATCTTTAATGTTGAGTTATTATCAGAAAGAGGTAAATAGATCTTGACATCGTCAGCATAGATAAGAAAAGAACAGAATTTAAAACATTGGGCTATGTCATTGACAAAAATTATAAATAAAATGGGTGCCAAGTGCGCACCTTGTGGTACACCAGACAAGACAGCAATTGGATTTGAGAGACAGTTTTTAATTTTTACAAATTGCTCTCTTTCAGAAAGGTAAGATCTTAACCAGTTCAATAAACTTCCATGCAATCCGTAACAAGAGAGCTTTTCAATGAGAATATCTATATTCAACTTGTCGAATGCTTTCCCAAAATCTGTATAAATTGAGTCAACAGATTGCCCATTTTCCAATGCCTCAACTATATGTGAATGATAAACTAAAAGGTTAGAAGTTATAGATTTTCCTTCACAGAAACCATGCTGCTGTGCAATTATAACATTTTTAAATTTTTCCTTCAAAAAATCTGCTACAAATGATTCAAAAACCTTTGGAATTAACGATATCAATGTAATGGGCCTGTAATTTTCAACATTCTCTCGATTTCCACAATTTTTAAAAATTGGAATAATGTAGGAGGTTTTCCATTTCTTTGGAAAAACTCCCAGGGCTAAAGATTTATTAAATAAAATCCATAAAGGCCTAGACAGTGAGAAAGCACAGTTCTTAAGAAACAATGCACTCACACTATCAGGACCCGGTCCCTTTGACAAGTCCAGGCTAGCCAGCTTTTCACAAATATCAGAAATTTTTATATATACACTGCTCAAATTTAAGTTTGGCGAGCTGAACCTTTTTGCAACAGTGCTAAGGCTCTGTGAAGGACTTGGTGTTTCATATACACTAGAAAAATGTTTAGCAAAAGCATTTGCAATTTCTTTGCCGCTATCAAAAGTTTCCTCATTATACTTAACAATTGATGGAATACTATTTTGATTATTTTTAGACTTAATGAACTTCCAGAAAACATTAATATTACCTTTTAGATTATTCTCAATATTTTTTATATAAAGACTATAATCTTGGTGAACCTTTTCTTTGCACAATCTGCGTAAATGACAGAATAAACCATAATCAATATTAGAATTAGTTCTCTTATATTTTGCATGCAGCTCTTTTTTTTCATAAATCATACTTTTGAGTTCAGGACTAAACCATGCAGGAAATTTAAAATTACTTTTTATTAGCAATCTTGGCACATAAGTATCAATACAATCATAGAGAACAGCATAAAAACATTCAACATCATTATCCAATTGATCAACCAATAAGGCATCCCAGTTAAAATTAATTAATAAATTGTTGATTACATTAAAATCTGCATTTTTAAAATCATAGATTTGTTCTTCAAATTGCAAAGGTTTATAAGAGCTAATATTTTGTATACTTACAACAAATGCTGGGTGATGTTTGTCACATGGCAGAAGTATATCATTAGCACAATTTACTTTAGTAAAATTAGAGTTATTGGTAAATACAAGATCTAGTAAAACATTGTTACAATTTTTTATCGAGTTTATTTGAGTGCAGTTAGAAAACAGCATGGAGCTAACAAGAAGATCACCGGAGGCATTCCGTCTACCAATACCATTATCATGGAGGTTGGTTTCATCCAACATCTGAAGATGGGGCAGGTTGTAATCTCCCATGATGTACATGACATCAGAGCTATCACTGAAGTTTTCAATATTGTTGCAGTGATTTTCATATTCCACCAAATTGCTAAGGGGAGGAAAATATACTGCACAGAAGTAGGTGGACTTAATTTTACCAATAGATACAGAGACCCACACCTCTTCATGCCCAGATGTCAAATTCCTCAATTCGACTTGGTGCGATTTTAAACTTTTTGTGATCGCAATTAAAACACCTCCTCCTCTGGATTTGCCTGTTGCTATGTTGTCTCTGTCACATCTATAAATTGAGTAGTTCTGTAGCCCTAGTTCCGAGTCATTAAACTCTGGTGTTAACCAGGTTTCACTAAGTATAATTATATCATATGATGCCATGGACACATTGTTTGAAAATTCATTCAATTTAGTTCTGATGCCTCTAATGTTCTGGTAATAAATCCTAATATCATTGATAGGGTTAATTCCTGCGCCGTGGCTGGGCCTGCCTTTTAAAAAAGCGTCTACCTTGTGCTGATGGTAATGGTTGATTTCTTCTAGGGAAATTGAATGGCTTGACAATCACATTTTCAGGCCATATGTCGCTATTAAATAATGTATTCTTGACACCAGGTTTCACGGAGAGCTTAAAAGATGCCACATGTTGGTTCTGAGACGACAGTTTCTCACAGGTTAAGGCTTCAATGTTGTTGGACTTAAGATAATTTATTAATTGATTAGTTGTGGTTCCTGCTTCCAGGTTGCCTATATAACACCAGAACTGTTCCTCCGCTGCTACAATTCCAGTTGAAGTTTTGTTTGTACCCCTGACAAGAGTGTTAGAGTTACCAAGTTGTTTAGGACCTGTTGAATGTTCAGATTGCTTGATCGGACCAGGTTTAATGGAGAATGCAGTTGAGCTTGGAGGTCCATTGATAGAAACCAATGCATCATTGATAGCTTTACTCGTTTGCTCTTGTGTGATTTCATGGACTATTGGGGGCTTGGACAACTTACTTGCATATGTCTTCATCTCAATCTTCATGCAATTGAGAAGTTCCTTATTAGTTTCCTGGATCAAGTTAAGGTGTGAGCTCAAGGATTTGGTTAGCTCATTGTTGATCTTTTCAGTGAAGAACAACAATTTATCGTCAAGTTTATCGTGCAATAAAGAAGTGATGGATAGTGCATTCTTGTCTGAAAAGTTGTCATCCTTGTTTTTTAGGGATAAGTCTTCCAGAGATTTTTGTAATCCATCATGAACTAATTTCACTGCAGCCCTGTCTTTGTCCATATCAGCCTTATTTGCCTTCAGTTGCAGTTCATTTTCAGTATTCTTTACTCTCGCCTTGAGATTTGAAATCTCCTTCTTATGCAATGAGATTTCCTGCTGTAGGGATTGAATTTGCTTAAATGCTTGTAGTGATTCCTTGAAGAGCGGTTTACATTCAGGACAGGTGTAGACTAAAGTCCTATTAGAACTGGGGATTACTCTAATTTCTTGCGCTTGTAGAGAGTTGCATTTTTCACATATGACTCGGTTACATAAGTCACAGGGATAGCCAAAAGTTCTGATCTTCTCTCTATCCTCCTTAAATATACATTCAATATTGCACTTAAAGCAATTAGCCATTGAAAATTATTAATTAATTATTTCAAACTGTATGCCTCAATTTGTTAATACTGACGGCGATTTGAGAAGAGTTTTGACCTTTTAAATGCAAGTGAAGATCAGTTTTCTTATTTCGTCAGAAACATCTTATTAATTGACGACAACAACACCAGTGCATTGAAAGTTGATTTAAACGTCAAAAATCAGCTTCTTAGCAAAGTAAAATGTTATCATTTGTCTTACAAAGCCTACCTTTATGTTATCGAAGCTAATAAACAGGAAATTCAAATAAAGTCATCACCATGTATTTTGCTATACACAAATCATTTTGCAAAGAAGACAATTTCGAAATAAGTACGCTTTAAAAATAGCCGCGTTGCTTACTTATCTTTCCATAAACATTTAAAGAAACCACAAACATATTTGGGAAAATAAGGATCTCTGTAAGTTTTGTTGTATGAAATGCAATGAGGTGTTCAAACACAAAGCAACGCTAGATGATCATGTGAATAGGAAGCATGTCTGATCTATTGCATCAGTTTCATTTAGAATACATGAATGTACATTCCATGATTACGAAACCGTTCATAAAAGTAATATAAGCGGGCATATGTCTGACCTGCACATATGCAAATATTGTAATAGGTCATATTAAAAAAAGGTATCTCTATTTGACCATGATCTAATCCCAATATCAGAACTTTAGCGAACAATTTCTAGCAAGATATATGAATGTATGCATCGTGAATTTAACCCTGGAACTGCACACTGGGGTCTGAGAAAGCCAGGTATCCCCTCTCTTGTAAGTGCTTCGAAGAAACGTAAATAGTTCGGCTGGATAGTTCGGTGTAAATTCAGTCTGTAGTGAGGAGAGACAGTGCGTAGACGTTGGCTGTTATTTGTGCTATCTATCCCGTCCGAATATTGACTAACATCGGTGAATGGGTACTGCAGACCCCAGTGTGTGGTTTACGTTGATAATATTTATTTTGTATTTTATAGCTATGGCAAATTCTGACTGGGAAAATTGTCGTCCCTTAACGCAACGTGAGTTACAAAATGAGGTCGACAATGTGTGGCAAAATGAAGATGAGGCAGATAGTGACGAAGACTTGTTTGGTGAATTATCTGACAGGGACGAAGATTATGTCGATGAACAACAGTCTGGTACTGACAATGAACAGAGTGATGATGGTGATGAAGTTGTGTTACAGAATCCTGGTATATCGAGCAGGAACACTGCTAGTATAATGGGCAAAAACGGTCATCGCTGGAGTACCAAAATACCAGAACGCAGAGGCCGCACAACGAGAGACAATATTGTTTTACATATGCCCGGTCCTAAACAACAGGCGAGATTAGTTCGCTCTCCAATAGAAGCATGGGAGTTATTATTTAACCAAGAAATGTTAGATATAATTGTATTACACACAAATCAAGAAATTGTGCGTAAGTGTTTTGAAAACTTGCCACAAAGTTATAAAAAGCCAACTAACCTTGTAGAGATTAAAGCTTTTATTGGGCTTATCTATTTAGCAGGGGCCCTTCGACTACCAAATACGAATTTAGATGAATTATGGTCAATAAAGTACGGAAATGGATTATTTCGAGCCACAATGTCTCAACAGAGATTTCAGTTTCTAGCTCTCTGTTTACGATTCGATGATAAGAATGGTAGGGCTGCAAGAAAATTAGTAGATAAATTTACACATATCCGGCAGCTTTGGGAAATTTTTATTGAAAACTGTAAGTCGTATTACACTCCCTATGAAAATTGCACAGTGGATGAGCAACTTGTCAGTTTTCGGGGAAAATGTCCATTCAGAATATACATGTCTAGTAAACCCGATAAATATGGTATGAAAATAATGATGATGAACGACTCTAAAACTTTTTATATGGTTAATGCAATTCCATATATGGGAAAAGTTAATGTAGAGAATAATGAGCCAGTACATACTTATTATGTTCGGAAACTCTCAGAACCAATTCATGGAACCCACCGTAATATAACCATAGACAACTGGTCCACCTCTATACCTCTATGTGAGGAAATGTTCCATCAGTATAAATTAACAATCCTAGGAACACTGCGAAAAAACAAAAGAGAGATACCCACAAGCTTCTTAGGAAGAAAAGCAGTTGGCACGTCCCTTTTTGCTTTTGATCACAACAAAACGCTTGTTTCGTATACGCCTAAGCGAAATAAAGTTGTGCTTTTACTATCCACTTTGCATCCTGATTCATCCATTAATGTTGATACTGGAAAGTCAAACCTGATAGATTCATATCATGAAACGAAGGGAGGAACGGATAGTTTTGACCAGTTATGTCATTCTTACACGACATCACGCAAAACTAGAAGGTGGCCCGTGAGAATATTTTTCAATATGTTGGATGCCAGTGGAATTAATGCTATGATTATATTCTCTCTTGTGAATCCAGATTGGAAAGAAAATACTAAAAATAATCGTAAAACGTTTCTCAAAGAACTAAGTAATTCATTAATTGAGCCACATTTACGAGAGCGGGCACAAGTGACCACGCTGCGATCATATCTTCGGCTTAGCATTAGTGAAATTCTAGGAATGGATGCGCCACAAAGACAGCATCCAGCAACAGATTTGCCAAGAGAGGTTAGATGTGCAATATGTCCACGTGGTAAAGACAGAAAAACTAACTTTGGATGTTCTAAATGCTACAAACCATATTGTTTAGAGCACAGGGCTAAACTTTGCTGCCAATGTGAAGACACAAACTGAGTTTCATGGCTAAGAAATTTATTGAGGTGTATTTTCATTTTTCAACTTTTTTTATGTTCTATAATGACTTTTTAGACAATAAAAATGTATTTAGCTTTTTAAAAGTTTTTTGTTGCATTTTTATTGATTACCTTCAGTTAATGTGCAATTTTATACTGATTTGTAATATTCTTTGTTCTAATACAATTAACGTTGAACCCAATGAACAAAATATTATTAAAATATTTTCTTCTACGAATTATCTGATGTATTTTGACATAAAAAGTAAAAATATAATAATAACATCCAACAAAAATACTTGGGTTTCTCAGACCCCAGTGTGCAGTTTATAGGATAAAAAATAAGTGTGCAGTTCCAGGGTTAAAATAACCAATAGGACTACAATTATATGACTTGGCGAAACATAATACTCGAAAGTCAGTGTATTCATTGTAATGCGTAATGCGTGTTCTCCTAAGATACCCGAGTTTGTACACTGTGAATATAAAACAACAATCATGAAAACTTCAGCTGTACGAGTAGGAGTCTTTGGTTCGATCAGTTGTATCAGTCTTTTAATAGTGCGTATACTTTTATTTTTCTGATTATTTTGTGCGAAAAATTGCCCAAGTTTAATATAACAATGAACTAGTGGACATAATACTAACATATACGGAGAGTGCCAACAAAATGCAGCCGCAGCATGCAGGTTGTATGCGGAAAGCTTTCCTTTACGAAATCATCCGGCCCCAGGACACAGGATGATCTGCCTAAATTATTAGTTCCTCTAAATATGTTCCTCTAAATGTGAGACAGAACATGTGGTTCGTACATGGCGGTGCTCCACATTTTAGACGAGAAGCTCATGAACATCTAAATAATGAGTTTCCGAATAGATGGATAGAGCGCAATGGACACATTTGTTGGCCTGCTCGCTCTACTGATTTAACGGCTTGCAATTTTTTTCTGTGGGGCTATTTGAAAGAGTTGGTGTATCATGATGAAGCAGTAAATACTCTGTAAGAACTTCAACAGTGCACTGAACATGCTTGTAATTTAATTCGTATACACCAAGATTTTATTTTCGAACGGTATTTAACTTGATAATAATTTTTAATAATGCAAACTAACTATCTTATTATGCAACTTTTATATAGGTGATTTTTGGTACATCAACTTCTGTTGACGAGTTCTACAAGCTGTTAAAATAAATGATTCAACTTTGAAATATCCTCCGAAACCTGTGTAAACTAATATTACTTATAGAAATAACGTTGAGACTGTCTCGCTATACGAAACGATTCTCTTTATCAATTAAAAAACTATAATGAAACTTTTTTTCAGCGCACAAATAAAGAAAAATCGGGAAAAGGAACAACGAAATCTACCGATTGAAGAAGGAAAACAGTCGTTCAGCTGCTATATTTGTAACTATACGAGCCATTGTAAAAACGGTTTGATCGGTCATATCAAAAGGAACAATTGCTATTTACGATCTAATTTGGGGAAATCACGATCTGTATCCAGAAAACAGTATCAGTATTGTTGTATCAAATGTAATAAGGTGTTCAAAAGCAAAACATCACTAGATAATCATTTGGTTAAAAATCATGTAGGATCTATGGCGTCAGTTTCATCTAAAATACATGAATGCACATCCAGTGATTTTAAAACCGCTTTCAAGTGTATAAACTGTGATGCTTCATTTAATACTAAACGACGCTTAGAAAACCACACTTTACAAAAACATCCTAAAATGCGTAAATGTACACATTGTGAATATAAAACTACATATCGACAATGTTTAGCTAGGCATATGATGAAACATACCGGAGCTAAGCTCAAGTGTACAAAGTGTGATGAGTCATTTACAACCACACAATCATTAAATCATCACATTTTGCGGAAACATCCTGATGTTGCTGCTTCTGTATCTTGTAAGATACATAAATGTACACATTGTGAATATAAAACTACATATCGACACTGCTTAACTACGCATATGATGAAACATACCGGAGCTAAGCTCAAGTGTACAAAGTGTGATAAGTCATTTACAACCATACTATCATTAGACGGTCACATTTTGCGGAACCATTCTGAGTTTACTGCTTCTGTATCTCGTAAGATACATAAATGTACACATTGTGAATATAAAACTACATATAAGGGGAATTTAGTTAGCCATATGGTGAAACATACTGGAGCTATGCTCAAGTGTACAAAGTGTGATAAGTCATTTACAACCACACAATCCTCAGATCATCACATTTTGCAGAAACATCCTGATTTTGCTGCTTCTGTATCTTGTAAGATACATGAATGTACGCATTGTGAATATAAAACTACATTTCGACACTACTTAGCTAGGCATATGATGAAACATACCGAAGCTAAGCTCAAATGTACAAAGTGTGATGAGTCATTTACAACGATACTATCATTAGACGGTCACATTTTGCGGAACCATCCTGAGTTTACTGCTTCTGTATCTCGTAAGATACATAAATGTACACATTGCGAATATAAAACTACATATAAGGGGAATTTAGTTTGCCATATGATGAAACATACTGGAGCTATGCTCAAGTGTACAAAGTGTGATAAGTCATTTACAACCACACAATCATCAGATCATCACATTTTGCAGAAACATCCTGATTTTGCTGCTTCTGTATCTTGTAAGATACATGAATGTACGCATTGTGAATATAAAACTACATTTCGACACTTCTTAGCTACGCATATGATGAAACATACCGAAGCTAAGCTCAAATGTACAAAGTGTGATGAGTCATTTACAACGATACTATCATTAGACGGTCACATTTTGCGGAACCATCCTGAGTTTACTGCTTCTGTATCTCGTAAGATACATAAATGTACACATTGTGAATATAAAACTACGTATAAGGCGAGTTTAGTTAGCCATATGATGAAACATACTGGAGCTATGCTCAAGTGTACAAAGTGTGATAAGTCATTTACAACCATACGAACATTAGACCGTCACATTTTGCGGAAACATCCTGAGTTTACTACTTCTGTATCTTGTAAGATACATAAATGTACACATTGTGAATATAAAACTACGTATAAGGCGAGTTTAGTTAGCCATATGATGAAACATACTGGAGCTAAGCTAAAGTGTACAAAGTGTGATGCGTCATTTACAACCATACGAACATTAGACGAACACATTTTGCGGACACATCCTGAGTTTACTACTTCTGTATCTCGTAAGATACATAAATGTACACATTGTGAATACAAATCTCTACAAAAGCAGCACTTCACCAGACATATGATGAAACATACCGGAGCTAAGCTCAAGTGTACAAAGTGTGATAAGTCATTTACAACCACACAATCATTAAACGATCACATTTTGCGGAAACATCCTGGAGTTTACTACTTCTGTATCTCGTAAGATACATAAATGTACACATTGTGAATATAAAACTACATATAAGGCGAGTTTAGTTAGCCATCTGATGAAACATACTGGAGCTAAGCTCAAGTGTACAAAGTGTGATGCATCATTTACATCTACACAATCATTAAACGATCACATTTTGCGGAAACATCCTGAGTTTACTATTTCTGTATCTCGTAAGATATATAAATGTACACATTGTGAATACAAATGTCTACAAAAGCAGCACTTCACCAGACATATGATGAAACATACCGGAGCTAAGCTCAAGTGTACAAAGTGTGATAAGTCATTTACAACCACACAATCATTAAACGATCACATTTTGCGGAAACATCCTGATGTTGCTGCTTCTGTATCTTGTAAGATACATAAATGTACACATTGTGAATATAAAACTACACATAAGGGCCATATGATGACAAATACTGGAGCTAAGTTCACGTGTACTTGTGCAAGAAAAGATTACTCAGACAACCACACTTTAGGGAAACAGCCTGAGCTTATCGCTGCTGAGAGCAAATTGAAAAAATCTCTGGATCGTACCAATTTCAATACGTCGAGTTATGATAACTATGAATGCTGTAATGTGGCATTTGATTGTAAATCGACATTTGATGATCACGTTATAAAAAATCATGCAGATATTATTCGATGAACTATAAAAAAAATATCGCGTACTGATGATGGTTGCATTCATCAGAATATGGTCATACAGGATATCCTGAAAGTTGGGATTTTCATTTTAAGGAATAACAGCGTTTGAAATAACCATGCTAATGTGCGGTAAAATAGCAGCGAAAACGTAAGAAAGAAATTGAAGAAAAATACTCGCTATTCATATTTTCAAGTACAGCCCTGTCACATGTTTTGTTTGTAAACACTGCTTGACGTTGTCGTTGTTCGATTCAAAAACATGAGTTTGTTTAGTTATTTCTAAATTTGCAACATTTGGGGCTGTCTAGGTCTTCAACTGTGTCCAACCAGACGACTTTTGCACGATAAAAACATATATATATATATATACAGCTCTGATGAAAAAAAAACGTGGAGGACGACGGCAACGTTCCGAGTGCACTCGTCAGATAAAGAATAAGTGTAAACTTTTAGTGAATCTAAGTTTTGATTAAGACTTCTTAAGTTTATGTGGAAAATTTTTAAATGTATTAGAGTAGTATTAGTATTATTAGATGTATTAGATTCAAAAATCGATTGAATCAAGATATTCAGTCTGCATATACTTATAAACTGGGCATTTTTGATCTGTTGGTACATGCTCGGTGTTATATATTTTTTTTATATTTCTGATTAAAATATATGTAATTTGCACATTTATTTCCTTCATTGTTGCATTGGCGACTTTCATGATTCCCTCCACATCTGATGCACACCGTATTATTTCTACATTTATATGAAGTATGGTGAAATCTAAAACATTTGTTACATTGTGTGATTTGGTTATGATATACAGGGTGACTTCGAAGTTGAGTCATTTATTTTAACAGTGAGTAGATCTGATCAAAAGAAATGTTTTTTCCTTTACCATTTTTCTGGTAAAATTAAAGTAACAAAGTTATAGCCCTTTGGAAGTTTGAGTACCGCCCTGTCTCAATCATAATATTATGTGCTCGTGTTTGGCGACAACGGATATAATCCGCCGTATCGGTTCATCGCATCGGAAACAAAAAAGCGAAAGAATTTGGAACGATGTTTTTACAATTATTTCGTTCATTTGTATACAGTCAGTGTCAGTGAATAGTGGTATCTGTTGCGTGGCTCAAACAAAATAAAAAATGGCACATGTTTATGCGGATCGGTTTCCCAATCGAGTGCAACCAACCCCTCGTGCCTTTGTTAATGTAGTACAACGGGCTCGTGAATCAGGTGACTTAAGACCTCACAGGGGACCTCACGATCAAATACAGGTCCGCACTGAAATACTTGTCGGGAGGATACCTTATAAAACAAGGTAAACATTTTTTTTATTTTTTTTTTATTTTTACACACATATTTTGGTTTATCTTCCTTCTACAATCATTATCTGAAAATTAATGACTCAACTTCAAAGTCACCCTGTATACATTCAAATTCTGCCAATCTAATAATATTTTACCATTATTTTCATCTGTGACGGATCTATATGTTTTTCCATTCACTTCTGCAAATAAAGTATAATAATTTTTTAAGTGATTCTTTCTTATATAAGTAATTTTGATATAATTTTCTTCAAAGAAGTGATTTTGTCTAATAATACTTTCCTTGAGGCTTGTTTCAGTAGGTGGTTCTTCACTTCTGTAGCCGACAATTTTGATTCTTGGTAGTTTCTTTTCTTGTGCTATAACATTGTATTTTCTTGATAACTTTTTTTCGATTTCATTTTTCAGTGTAGTGAGGTATTTTTCTTCTAGTTTCAATTCGATTCCTCCTTTTTTAGTGTGTTTATTGTTGTCTACTTGTACTTTCAATTTCGATAGGTCAATTTTATTTAAATCTTTTTTTGTCTCAAGTATTGTTTGTTCTTTAGTAGGATTCACGCATAGTGTTTTTAGGGGTTTGTTGTATGACTTAGTTCTGGCTGTTATTTGGCTATATGATCGGTGGTTTATGCCACTCGATTCAACAGCTTTAATTCTATCTCCCATATTTTCGATATAATGCATTATATTGTTCGTAACCTTCTTGTAGTCTTTTGTTTTCTTTTTCTAATTGTAATATGTATTTTTCTTTTTCCAACAGTAATACATTGTTTTGTTCAATTATTCTTTTTAGTTCCTTATTTTGAGTTTTAATTTGGTCTATCAAGTTGGTTTCATTATGGCTATTACACGTTGTTTCAATAACTTCATCTTCACTTTCACTTTGATTATCGTTCAGGGTTTTATTTTTTGTTTTTCCCTTACTTCTGGTCATTGATTTCTTCTTGATATGTAAGTCTCTTAATTCACACCCCGTATTGTGATTACCCTTGATTAGGTACAGCTTTCAATGACAAAGTTACCACAAATGTC